ATAAATTAAAAAAATAATATTCGGAAGTTGAAAGCTAAATAACACTGATGTCCTACTTGCGCATTTTATAAGGTACTAGCAGTAGAGCCCGGCGTTGCCCGGGGATGTAACAGTAAGAGATAGATCAAGTATCGACCATCATAAAGACTGAAAAATAAAATTAACAAAGATTATTGTTTAAGGTTGACGGACACGCATGTCTTAATTAGTTTTTTTTTTTTTTTTTTTTTATGAATTGGTCAAACTCAAACAAAAATATTGTTTTCAATCGTTATGAGTCTACCGATTGAATAGAATTTTATTATAAACAATTGTCTTGTAAATGGAATTTTTAAATAATTCTGAATGTAAAAATAAAGAAAAAAGTGTGCAAGACAATAAGAAGCACTACCTGCCAAAAAAAAGTGAAGTTTTGTTGAAATCGGTTGAAAAATGTCGGGAATCCGATCCCATATATAAACGAACACACACACACCAACAACCTGGGTTTTATAAGTATAACTCGAAATAAGTTGTTCCCCTTTCATTCTGGTGACAGAATCGTGTTTTATCGTGTTTTCAAATTGATTTCATGCAAAAACAATTATGTTTTTCCAATTTTGGGCGCTGTCAGAACCACCGCAAGGTAATTTTACGTAGTCCTGTGAAGTTTTGTTGAAATCGGTTGAAAAATGTAGGAAATCCGATCCAATATATAAACGTACAGACACACACACACGCACACACACAATCTGCGTTTTATAATAAGTAAGATGAGAATCAAATTTTACAAAACGTTAAAATAAAAATATGATTAAAAATGATTAAAAGGTTCATAAGGATGAGAACACCTGTAACTGTGTATTTTTTGGATGGAATCGATTTTTTTTTCAGTTATTAGATTAAATTTTACTAGTTGTATGTTAAAAATATTAAAAGAAAACATAAAATGTGGAAAAATAATGCTTAACCACGCCAGATAAAAATGGGATAAAAATACTCGTTTTCATTTTTTTTATACACTTATAAACGAAAAAAAAAATGTTCGAAATATTTTAAATGACATACTAATTATAAATTCCATACCGAAGAAAAATAGTAAAATAAAATTAAATGCAATTTTTGATGGATATTAAATTTTAGGTTCCCTAAAAAAAACTTTTGTGTGAATTTTTTTTTTTGGGTATCTTCAATATATATACATATAGTTTCGATCTTGGCTTGAGGCAATCGGATGTTTAACTACACTGATTAGCTGTGAAACAGTGTCTGTCTGGGGATGACGATATATATGCCGTCGGAAAATTTACTTCCGGTCGAACACTCTGGAGTGAAAGCATGAATTTGTAAATAATGACTACTGCTGTTAATACTGCAAAGTTCTTCAATGAACTGAGCCATCTAAGCCATTGGCGTGTTTATTAAATGCTGAGGTACGTAAAAATTCGACTTCCTCTATATCGGGCGCTGATAGCTCAGGGGCAAAATCTCCGGCTCGAGGAAATCGGATATCTAGCAACACCGATGAGCTGTGATACAGCGAAACAGTCTATCTGCGGATGACGATATATATATTATAAATGAACTAGTTTAAAATATGTTATTTTTCGCTACACAGTATTAACCATGTTTCAAAAAGTGGAAGCTAAAAGCTTCAAATTTAATTTTGTAATTAAATTAAAATCATTAGTTACATTTCATCCTGAAGCGAATTTTAGAGTAATTATTTTAAAAATTTACTGAGTTTTAAAGGCAAAGAAAATTCATAATTCAACTGTTTCCAATGATACAGAGATCCAATCATTCAGACAACGGATAGTAGCGTGTTCATTTTTATTAACTTTTGTTGTATCAGTTATTAGTTACGTTCGAAAAAGGGGTTATGTTTAGGTAGGGTTAGAGATGTATTTTTCAACGAATTCTGACATCCGTTAAATGCATGTCGTCTGTTTTTTTGTTTTTTTTTTAATTTTATTGTTAACGGCAAAAAATTCTTAAGGCATTTTTTCTATTTGTATACTTAAAGATTTTTGGGGGATGTTTAGGTTAGAATACGTTTTATTTAACTACAATTTTAATATATTTTCACTTTTAATTTTTAATAGACTATATTTCTTTTAAAACAAGTCAATGTACAAGAATTACTTACAGCATATAAAATTATTTTTTCATATCAAGTATAAGTATGTATATTACCAGGTCAGATTTTTTTTTAAATTTATTTTTGAATATTGTTTAAGGAAAATTTTTGACAATGACGGCAAAAATAGCTAATTCATTTCTCTGATCCAGTAAAATTTTATTTTTTTATAAACTTAGTAATATATAGTTTCTCATGTATGTACAAAGAACATGGGTCATTTAATGGCCTACATATTCTAGCTTTTCTTATTAATTTCATTTTACTGTAAGTGTTTTATTGGATTCTTATAAGTGCTTGAAGTACTTTGAGAAAGATGTTTAGGTTAGAATACGTTTTATTTAACTACAATTTTAAAATATTTTCACTCTTAATTTTAATAAGCTATATTTCTTTTTTAAACCAGGTAAATGCAATAGCATTACATACAGTATATAAAATTATTTTTTTCATATCAAATATAAGTATGTATATTACCAGGTCACACTTTATAATTTTATTTTTAAATATTATTTAAGGAAATATTTCACAATGTTTTTTACCTGTTTTGGTGTTAACTATTTGCCGATAGCTGGGACCCTAACAGGTGCTACCACCCCAGGGCAGGGTGGACCTAGGAACACCAGCAATTAAGAGGTGGTTTCATGCTCCTTAAAACCTCCTGAGCAGAGGCCTTGCTGTTAGACGTAGTTTATCGTCTTACCCAAGACGCGGATGTATTTTATTGTCATACCCAGGACGGGTCATGTGTTATAAATTCAGTGCTCAGTGTTGGTAAACAGGGGGTAAACGTATATATTAGTAAATAAAGTGTAACCCGGATATAAGAGAGTTGTCGGGACCGGAGAAGAAGTCTCTTATATCCGGGTTTCTCTTATATCCTGGTTTGGTCTATTTTATATACATTAACACAGGCTCTAATTTGGGACCAGAGAAAATCTCTCTGATATCCGGGTTTCTCTTATATCCGGGTCTCTTATATCTGGGTTACACTGTATATATATATAGAGAGAGAGTGAAAGAGAAGGAGTTACTCCACTTGATATGTGTTTTACTTTTGAATCCAACTTTAAATTTTAATAATTTAATTTTTTTTTTAATTCAATGAATTTCAATGATATTTGTAACGGAAATAAGAGAGTTGTCTGAGAAGAAGTATATCGGGTTTCTGTATCCGGTTTGGTCTATTTTATATACATTAACACAGGCTCTAATTTGGGACCAGAGAAAATCTCTCTTATATCCGGGTTTCTCTTATATCAGGGTCTCTTATATTCGGGTTACACTGTACAAATTATTAATAGCTAATGCTAATATCTTACGCGACAGCAATTAAACAATTTATCACACAATTTCGAATCATAACGACAGGAACGTGAACTACATAACGGTCAGATTATATTTGCACCTGAAGATTGCAAGAACTGCATGAAACTTCGAATCGTGTTATCGACGTTTGATATTATGTATACAGTGGTGTAACCCGGATATAAGAGACCCGGATATAAGAGACCCGGATATAAGAGAAACCCGGATATAAGAGAAACCCGGATATAAGAGAGATTTTCTCTGGTCCCAAATTAGAGCCTGTGTTAATGTATATAAAATAGACCAAACCCGGATATAATAGAAACCCGGATATAAGAGACTTCTCCGGTCCCGACAACTCTCTTATATCCGGGTTACACTGTATGTATTTATATAAAGAGGGAAAGGGGAGAGATCGAAAGAGTGTTAGCGTGAGAGTGCGTGAGAGAGCCCATCGCAGGTGTTGTGGAATAAATTATTGAATTAGAATAAAATGTATGAACATTAAGTGTAGTAGAATATCGATAAGAAAATATGGGCAGGATTCCTTTACAATCTCTCCCTAATCTTCTTAATCGTTCGCGCGCGCACACACCACACACGCACATACAGATACATAAACATACATCCGCGCGCGAACGATCACATAGGCACGCACACGCACGCAGCGCACACGCACGCAGAACACACACACACACACACAAGTACACACACAGCTACACACACACACACACACACAGGTATACACACAGGTACACACACAGACATACACACACACAGGTACACACATACACAGACATACACACACAGGTACGTACACAGGTAGACACACACAGAAGTGGATCAATAAGAACCTAATATATATTATTGGCTAAATTTTAACAATAACTTTTATTTATTCAATAAAAGTTATTGTTAAAATTTAGACAATAAATATAATTTAAGTGATAAAAAATAGCATTGATTTAGATGTATTGACCTGGAAGCATAGATTAACTTATGTATACCAATATATTAAAAAATGCATTCTTATCATTAGGATAAATGCATTTTTATAATATATATATATATATATATATATATATATATATATATATATATATATATATATATGACTGTGTGTGTGTGTGTGTGTGTGTGTGTGTGTGTGTGTGTGTGTGTGTGTAAAAGTTTTCATTCGTAGTCATATATGTTTATGCCTATAATTTTTACATATTTAAAAGACGTAAATAGATAGATAGATAGATAGATAGATAGATAGATAGATAAAAATATACAGTGTAACCCGGATATAAGAGACCCGGATATAAGAAAAACCCGGATATCAGAGAGATTTTCTCTGGTCCCAAATTAGAGCCTGTGTTAATGTATATAAAATAGACCAAACCCGGATATAAGAGAAACCCGGATATAAGAGACTTCTTCTCAGGTCCCGACAACTCTCTTATATCCGGGTTTCACTGTATAAGCTAACAGAAAGAAAGAAAGAAAGAAAGAAACATACAGAATAAATGAAAGACTAATTTAAAAGACGGAAAGAAATATGGAGAAAGAAATAAGAACTATCGATAATTTAGAAGGGAAAGAAGAAAAAAATAAGATGAAATGTGTAAAGAATATATAGAGCAGAAGAAAAGGATGAAATTAATATGCACAAGAGGAAAAGTGAAAGAAAGAAAAAAGAAAAGCGGGAAAGGAAGGTAAAAGAAGCGTAAAAATATAAATGTGAAACAAAAAAAAAGCAAAACAAAAGAAAAAAAAAGAAAATAGAAAGAAAGAAAGAAAGAAAGAAAGAAAGAAAGAAAGAAAGAAAGAAGGAAAAATAAAAAGTAAAGAAAAAAACAACTCTAAAAAGAAAGACAGGAAATAAAAAATGTAGAAAAGGAGTAAGTAACCAGAGGAAAGGAAAAAAGTAGTGGAAGTGAGGAGGTGCTCAAAACGGAGGAGAAAAATAAGAATACATTTGAACGGACACTGTTTTGACCTGCAATGATGATTCTTCTTATGCAAGGGAGGAGCAGAGAAAATACAGGAAAAAAAAAAAAACACAATGGAGAAACGAAAAAAAAAAGAAAAAGAAGCAGAAATTGTTACAAAAGAAAGCAAAAAGGAAGTTAAGAGTCTGGCTTGCGAATAAAACTCTCCACTTGGAAAACACGGACAGATTCTTGAATGCCCTTGGTAAATCACAGACCGGAATTTATTAGCGGCTTCTGATCCGTTCCGAAATCGCAGACAAGAGAAGGCGGGAAGCGACTTAGATCACATTCACGCCATACCCCAAGGGATTATTATTATTATTATTATTATTATTATTATTATTATAGTCGTTGTTGATGCTGATAACATTGGAACCAATCTAAAAAGAGATAGAAGCTTTTATCACCAAGCGTGTTGGTCGACAAGCGGGAGACGGAATTATGTACGGCTGGAGATATTGGCAGAGAGATCAGGAAACGCCGAGAAAGAAGCAATTTTCATATAAAAAGAATTAGAAAAATAAAAAGAATCTTCTAATAATAGAAAAAAAGAAAGAAAGAAAGAAAGAAAAAGAACGGTGGAAAAGCCCAGACAGACAGACATGAAAGTGTCGGGCTGGCTGTCGGTAAAGGTCGACGAAATAGATGCCGGTGATTTCAGGATATGTCTCCACCTGATTACACACACACACACACACACACACATATATATATATATATATATATACATATGTGTGTGTGTTTGTGTGTATTTAGGCAGCAATCCTTCTTTCATGCGCATTTCATTAAATACAACAGACAATAAGGCTTCTATTATTTTTGCGCCTTTTTTTAATTAAATAAAAACAACAAAAAAAAACAACAGTCAATAATATTATCTTTGAACATGGACACAATGTCTTGACCGTGTTTTGAAAAATGAAAACATTTTATAAAACATACATACAACAAACAATTTCTTATTTAACAGGTAAAATATTTAATCCTTGAAAATGGCTAAATGTATAGCCGAAAGCGCTCGGATGAAAAGAACATTCGGACAGTTTTATATAATTTATCAACCGAAAAGAAAAAAAAATATTACATCGCATGATAAATTGTATAAAAAACTAAATAAAAGCACTTTGTCTGTCGTATTCAATGAAATGTGCACACACACACACACACACACACACACACACACACACACACACACACACACACACATATATATATATATATATATATATATATATATATATGATTTTGTAACGATTTGAGCGAGTCATACAGCGGGAAGCTTAAATCGGTAGATAATACAGCAAAAACTCGCTGAACATGTTCATATTAAAACACAGGTAAAGCGAATTAAAGATATGGCTACATGTCACCTAGGTATTTAGGCAAGTCCACGTTTTGTACAGTAGTACTTTATCAAATAATAATAGACCCAAAACGAAAAAAAATCGTATTTAATATTGAAATTTAATCAAATATCAAAAGTAAACGAAACATTTTTCTTTCTTCAGGTGGTTGGAATGTCGAACTGAACACTTTATTTCGCTCACTGGGGTGGCGAACACGTAGACTCAGTAAGAAGTCATACAGCGATACTTCAATACCAAAGACTGTATAGATATTTTGCTACTAACCCGTATTCCTGGAACTACTAACCTGCATTACCTGTTTGTATTATTACGTTAATACATTATTTTCCTAAATTCATTCTTGGCGTTTGTTATTTATTGGTACCGGATTTCATCTTGGAATCCACAACAATTATGTATGCCAAAATCGTTGGGTCTCGTATTAACCAAAATTTTTGTTGTTTTCTCCGAGAGCCTTTTGACATTGGAGTAATGGATAATGGCTCGGATTGAGAAAATTCGAATTCCTGACGAATCCATTACATTCACTTTCGTTCTAATACCCTTGGGAAAGGTATGAATCCTCTTCTTCTTCTCCCAGCTTTAGATAAATAGCAGGACAGACCGGGTTCTATAGCCTTGGATGACAACTGATCTACCGAAGAAAGAAATGGCAACCTATTACGGGAAAAGTCTGCCTCGTCAGTTATGTATCGAAAGATACATCATTGCTTAAGCGTGTATCACGCATGGCACATAACTGACTGATATTCGTACGTTCTCCAGCTTTGAACGAAGCTACAGCTTTTGACACCCAAACTCAATTCTCTTCATCCATTTTGCAATTCACCGTGGAAATGGAGAATGATTATACCTTGACGTTCCTTGACGTTCCTTGACGTTCCTTGACGTTCTTGTTGAACGTAAACATGGTTGGTTTATTATTAGTGTTTATCGCAAACCTAAGTTCACAGGCTTGTACTGGAATTCTTTTGTTCCTAAGTCCCGTATAATTAACCTGATATTTACCCTAGTCCATCGCACATTGATGATTTTCTCTCCCTGTAACCTTAAACAGGAACTTATGGCAATTCGTTGTAATTTTATGGACAATGGTTTCCCTACTAATTTCATCAAGCGTGTTATTGAACATAAGATTAAACTCACTGGCAAGGTGACAGGTTTTTCTACTGTCAGGTTACGTGTTGCGTTTAAGAGCAATTCGGTGTTTCCCTCTTTCGTCAAAGATCGTCTGTCCGACTTTCAAAATTGTTCTGTTATATATAAGTTTAAACATCAGTGTGAAGCTGAATAAGTAAGACGGACCAATCTGAGACTGGCGACCCTATTTGGTCAACATGTTCTTGCTAATCTCGGTCACGTTTTAAGTACAACCCAGACTGTACATGACTCAGCAATAGGTCAGCACCTATTAAACAACCCTGACAGTGCCGATAAGTACGAAGATACACTATTTACATTGTTCGGACTAAATATGGCAACAAAGATGAGGATAATAGTACGAACCATGTAAATAGTGTATATAATACCTCATCTCAGGAATATAGACAGATACTGAAAGATGAAGATGATTTTAGCCCTTCATTATATTTAGTTGGGTGGTTGGGATTAACATTGTTTACTTTTTAATACCCATTTGGAACATTTAACTTTTTTTTATTCATAAATTCTTTTACAAATAAATTGTTATTAATCATGTTTCAAAGTTTCTCCTCGGCATTTAATTTTTTTTTTCTTTTTTCGTGAACATCATCTTGTGTCTCGTCTTATTCTTTTTATTTTTTTTTACCAAACATTTCCCTTCTGATGGTTATAAGGATCCTAAAGGAAAAATGAAAATGTCAATGTGATTTTAAAGTCAATATATATATATATATATATATATAATATATAAATATATATATATATATATATATATGTGTGTGTGTGTGTGTGTGTGTGTGTGTGTGTGTGTGTGCAGCGATGAGCACGTGGCCGGTGTGGTTAGAACGTTCGAGTTCCACCATTATCAATTTGTCCGAAAGATGACCTTCTGATGTTATCGGTCATGAAAGTGATTGAAAAAAACATACCACGAGTTGACCCAAAACTTGTGAGTGAAATTGGGTAGACAGATCCCTTGAGAGTCGTCGATGACTGTGCTCGCACGAAGTCACAAGTCATCGTGACCGAGGTTTCAGCGTGCTGGTCATGTTCAAACTGTTGATGACGCTAGATAACACGCTTCTCTCCCAGAAACTGTAACTAAGATCTGCCCGGCATAGTTGCAGTATAAACCGCAGCTGGGCTCCGTAGGCGTTGAACAAACACAAATGCGTCTGATCAAGCGTCTGCAATAGGGATTGGCTAGCCGTCCTAATAGACCGGTAGTCTGGAATACAAGTGGGCCGTCATTAGAGTTATATATACGGATTATCAAACCGCAAAAAGAAAACAGCATTATTAACAACAGTGTAACCCGGATATAAGAGACCCGGATATAAGAGAAACCCGGATATAAGAGAGATTTTCTCTGGTCCCAAATTAGAGCCTGTGTTAATGTATATAAAATAGACCAAACCCGGATATAAGAGAAACCCGGATATAAGAGACTTCTTCTCCGGCCCCGACAACTCTCTTACATCCGGGTTACACTGTACTAATTTCATAACATCCACTATCCAAGAAAATGTATCCAAAATAATTGCAACCATATTTAAAACTATTATGGATACGATCAGAACCAAAAATACCCATACCAATAATCATTCTGAAGCAAGTATAAAATAAAATAAAGTGCCAGAACTGCTCCACACATTACATTGGGGAAACATGCAGAAATTTTAAAAAAAGAATTTTATCTCTGATTGGATTTCTTTGTCTATTTTTCCATCAGAAGTGACTACTGATCCAAGATATATGCCGAATACGGAAGGATTTGTGAGAGATGGATTACCTTGTACTGGCTGGTACATTAGCTCAGTCTCATTTATGTTGAGAGTGAGTCCAAATGCTTTCGCTGTTTCAGAGAATTTATCAGGGATAGTTTGAATGTCATCTAGACCGTGTCCTAATAGAGCAGCAGCATCTGCAAAGAGAAGATCACGTACCAGCTGCAGACCAATTTTCGATTGTGCTTTAAAACGTTGCTGATTGTATAGACCTCCACTTGTTCTGAATTCAACATTGACTCCTTCACTTAAGTCAGAGAAAGCTTTTTCAAGCATAGCAGAAAAGGAAAGTGCAAAGAGAAGAGGAGCAAGAATGCAGCTTTGCTTTGTACCATTGGAGACGAAAAAGGCGTCCGATTGCTCAGTTCTCGACCTTACAAAAGCTTTCATTCCTTTGTGAAAGGAGATAAAAATATAAAGCATTTTTTCTGGAACAGCTAATTCTGACAAAAAATTTCCAAAGAGCAGAACACAAAAGGGATTTTACACAAAACAATTTATCAAATGCATTAGTTATACATAAAAGTAAACTGAACCATAACTTTGATCCAACGAATACCGCACTTATTAAAATAGAACGTAACTTAGAAGGAAAATCCTCGAGTGTCGCTATCAAATGTTATCAAAATATAAATCTGTATCATAGATTTTTTCAATATCTCCATTCATGAAAGAATTACTACTTTTTTCAAGCCAACATACATACTACAAAAATGGTAAAAATTGAAAGAAAACGGTTAAAAAAATATAACACGTGAATTAATACCAAACGAAAATAACTTAAATACTTATTTGAATAATAAAAAAAAAATCAATAACACCATTTACTCACTTTCGTTTATTAGCCATTGAATTGTGTTACGTCGTGTCTTCCATACCTTGTCTGACTTTTCAGCTGACCTGATGAATATGTTTAAGCGTTCCTAAACTAAAAGAAAACAATAACATTGATTTTTGTATGTAAATACTTGTTAAAAAAATAAAATCCATGCATTTGCTTTGATAAAGTCCATGAGAGGACGTAACGCGTCGACTAAGATAAGATTTGTTTTTATTTATTTTTTCTTTTACAGATATACTCTATCTGAAATTTGTACACACACACACACATACACACATATATACACACACGCATTTATATAATCATTTATTGGAAAATTATAAAATAAAAATGTTATAAAATCACTACAAAAATAACCATTTTGTTTCAACATTTCTGGTGACTTTTCAAGTGATGGTATTGAATGCAGAATAAAAAACCCTTTATTCTACATTCCACCCCATCACTTGAGAAGACACCAGAAGTG